AACACAACGTGGTGCGATCATCCCCCTTGCGCGGAGTGAGGGTTCTCGACCCCGCACAACATGATCTATTGGACCACCATTATGGTTACCGCCAAAAAACCAAACAGAGGTGAAAAAAAATCGGCACACGGGCTGCCGAGTTCACGAAGTGAATTGGCTTGTTTTACAACGTCGTTGCCAAGCGACGAAAACCCAATCCCAATGGCAAACACCGGGGGGGAGATGGGGTAGGGGTTGGGGGGCAAACTCATGTAACCGTCGTCGTTTGGCCATTGACCTCGAGTCCCTGCAATTCCGGGCCGGGGCGATATTTTCGACATATACCGGTGTTGCGAGACCCTCGACCACACATCCTCGAGAGGGCGGATCACTGCATGTTTCCACAGGACCATCTTCGCGGATGCGTGTCAAGTGGAAACCCGGCACTAGCCAGAGGTGGAGTTGGGGCTTGGGGAAGAGCAATCATCCTGGCGCTTTGTGGAGACACATCGTTGGATTATTGAGAGAGGGGACCCCTGTGGGGTCATCGATCAGGCTGAGAGCGAGACCCCAACTCACCGGTAGATGGTTGTCAGGAGCGGGAACTTCCGGGCGCACTTCTTCTTCTTGATCACGCCGAACGCTTCGACCGCCGTGCTGGGCCCTTGCAGCTTCATGCCCCCCAGTTCCTCCGCCTCCAGCTGCTCCCAAGAGCGCTTACCGCTTTCGCGGGCGAACATCTCTGCGCATCTTCGTTCCCCAAGCGTGAAGAAAAAAAGACAGAGACAACAAAAAAGAACGGGTAGTGTCTCTTTCACTTGTGTACTTCAAGTATGCATATTACTGTTCCTAACTACACGAGAAGCGAAAATTGTTTTAATGTTAAACGGCCAAAACACGTTCATCACTGCCACCTAGCCCTTTAACCCCATCCCTGAAATTCACCACTACGAAAACCACGGGGCCTCCTCGAAATACCCCACAAGAGCATGCAGGTATCATATATGGTATAAGGTCTGGCAGCAGCTTTAGGTCGTGAAGCGAGGGCCATACTGGCTTTGCGGCCAATCAGAGTTACCAACACCGGTGAAAAAGCCGCGGGCACTCACCTCTCTCTCTGTGCGTAACACTTTCTCTATTCTCTCTCTTTCTCTCTCTCTCTCTCTCTCTCTCTCTCTCTCTCTCTCTCTCTCTGTCTGTCTCTCTTCATATTGCAGAAACATCTCTGTCACAACATACACTCACCGAAAGGCTACCCTCTCGAGATAACACCACAGGAGTCGAAGGGATGATTACAATGCAATCTTTCCATTGAACGGGGAGAGGGGTGCTCTGCTTCTCTGTTTCAAACCTATACACAGTCATGTCAGCTGGCACGAAAAACCAAAAACAGCTAGCTCTCTGCGCCGGAACGCTACCAGGAGACTCACTTTCTGTTGCGGCTGGCGCCATAGCAGGTGGTCATCAAGTCCCCTATCCCGCAGCTCTCTAAGAACGCCCTCGAAGAGGCCGTCGCGTCGAACGAGCTCGCGTCGCAGCGCAATCTGCCGCCGGCCGGGGATGCCCATCGATAGCAACCAACCACGACGGGGGATGAGACCGGAAAAATCAAGGAGGTGTTATCCTCGGTTTTCACAACGCGAAACATGACTCTTTCGGTTTCCTGGGAGTAGCCTTGATGAGGACATCAATCGATAGCAACCAATCAAACGGGAAACGGGACCGGAAACACAAGGAGGCGTTTCTCTCGTTTTCATAACGCGAAACACGACTCTTCGAATTTTTGCAAGCTGCGTTGAGACCATCCATCGATAGCAACCACACGGGGGAATGGGACCGAAAAAATCAAGGAGGGGTTTTTCTCGGTTTTCACAACGCGAAAACGATTCTGTCGCTTTCTTGGGAGTAGCCGTGACGGGTCGTGGTAAGCATCCCAACGCTTCGCTCCCACGAAAAAAAAAAACATGCATTTCATAGTATCCCTTCACGTGCATCTCCCGCACTACCGGAGCCTTACTGGCACACGTTACTTAGTATACCTCCGTTTGACACTTCAAATATTCTACGCAACGCTCTCGCACACTCGTACATACATATGCAAACGTACCTCTGTGCGAAGACCTGCATCTCGGCGAGGCCTGTGCGGACGATAGCCGCCTTGGTGTTTCCCCCGTACCCCAGGCCATCGCAAAAGGCCGCCCCTAGCGCCACGACGTTCTTCAGCGCGCCGCACAACTCGACCGTGGCTGAGGCGTCTCGCACCACCTGTTCAGACAAAAANGGGGGGGGGGGGGGGGGGGGGGGGGGGGGGGGGGGGGGGGGGGGGGGGGGGGTCGGCAAACGGGTTCGCGTTTGTAGGCCTGTGCGTTCTGACTGACTTTCAGTGCTCCCATCTACACTGCCGGACAAACGCACCGTCTCTGTCCCCACGCACAAAGAGGGGCAAAATACAATCGAAACCCCGTACCAGTTCATCATGATACGCCATGTATGCAAATTTTTGCAGGCGGTGGGGACGCGGTTGTCACAATATACCGGGATCATTGCTCACGTGTGCTAATGTGTGCGTCGGCGCGTACGTCTTTCGTTTCATTCCTGTTCCAAACGGGTGGGGGGGGTTGATCGAACAATAACCCTCCCCCCCGCAAGTTACCATAATGGTGGTCGAATAGATCATGTTGTGCGGGGTGGAGAACCCTCACTCCGCGCAAAGGGGATGATCGCACCACGTCGTGTTAAAATGGTCAAGCACCCTCGAGGCAGTTACACAGTGCTTACAACTGTCTCAGGAAGTCAAACCACAGAAAATAAAGTAAGTCATACGCAGCTGTCATTCGTACGCAAGAAAGTAAGCACAAGATGACGAACATCCTTAGCAGGATGCAGCACGCCCTTCATGCGACTAGCCGAATACCTCACGGTGCTTCGCGCTTGGTGATGTGAGAGCCTGGTCCGGTGAGAACCCGGCGTGCTCCGTCCCGGCTTTGTAGGGATGCGAGGTCAATGGTGTAACGACTACGGCATGCACGACTATGAGTACACCCTCCCCGCAAGCTATTCGTTCACACCCTTACTACTGCTGAAACTGTAACCTCCCTCCTCACCGTAACGCGGAACGTAGGGCGGTTGAAGAGGAGCCTCAAGGTGTCGGTGTCGGCATCGGCCGTTACCGAAAGTCCCGCCGCTCTGCAAGACGCGTAGTCCTCGTCGGCAAGGCCCAGCTGCATGGACAAAAAAAATGAATGAAACAGCGTTTTTCTTCTCGAGCGGGGCATATATAATGTACAAGAGGCGACAACCTCTCAGGGGACGATAACGACCCCTGGCAAGCCTCAAACAGTAGCCCTGAGGGCTATGGATGGTTATCAGAACCAGCCCCACAGCATTTGGATGTGACGTACACTTTGTAAGGATGTGAGAAAAAGGGGAGATTTCACGATCAGAGGTGAGGGGGGTCAGCGGTAGAAAAAGGGAGGTTGAGGGGGTTGGGGGTCGGGGCAGCAACAAGAAGTACGTTCAATAAATATATTCTTCGAATATGCCCAACACAACGAAGCACAGCAACGGCACGACCGCGGGCTGGAGCTGAACAGGAAAAACCACTCCGGTCGGTTACTTGTATGGCGAACGGTAAACTTGAGATCGTTCGAAATGTCGGGTGTGTTTTGCAACGGGTACGATTTTCCGAGAAGCGGCGCCGTGTCCCTTCGCTAGCTCAATCGGCTTGTGGAGGCTGGCGGCAAAGGCTTATCTCACAGAGGGTCGGTCCCTCGCTATCGATCAAACGGAACTTTAGGCCGTTATTACACGCGGTTTCAACGATATACACAGCACCAAAGCAATCTTTTCCGTTCAAGATAAGTAGCCGCTCGAAGAGATGTGATGCAGGTGTTGCAGAATCTACAGCACAAGCGAGGGCTGAGGGGCACCTGTTGGGAAACTGCACTTGTTCAAGTTGGATTGAAGTCTCAACACTGAACAGACCGTGATGCCAGCTGGAAAAAAGAAACTTGTCGGTGAGGAAAAAACAAACAAAGAGATCATCCCTTACCGTAGACTCGCAAAGCTCATCGCGGGCGACCTCGTTCGCGACGTTCGCCCCCATCAACACGCTCACGGGCACGGCGCCGCAAAGGCCCTCGCGGATGTGATCCGAGATAAGCTTGAGACCGTCGGGTCCCTTGTCCACCCCCTTGATGAGCGAGACCGCTCGGATCCTGGCGCAAACAATTTTGTCGGGGGAGGGGGGGGGCGAGGGGTAATCATGTTGTGCATGCCTTCGCTGTTCGACATTTTGACCTTAAGGGGGGTTACTCGTGTTTTTCATGCCTTACTGTAGTTGCTAGACCACGCGTCTTCGAAAGGACGGAGCATCGTTTCCCACAGGACCCATCGCCGACAGCCATTCATCCCTTGTTGGTGGTTGCGTTCATCATTCGATCGCACAAGATAACGACCAAGACCCCCGCGGGATACCAACGTGGAATAGGGCACAAAATAAACCATGCATAAACTACACAGAAACAATCTCAGGACCAAAGTTCAAGCAAGCAAGTCTTACCTGCGGCCGCCCGGTGCTGCCCCTGCGTTGCCCCCGCTCTTGGTTAGTCCAAGCGCCTCGGCTACCGTCGGCAGAACCCGTCCCAGGAACTGCGCAAGGTTTTGTGTTCTTGTAGTTGTTAGATGTCTTCCATCAGAAGGGGTTGTGTCGATGCTTATGTATTACCAGGAATTTGACAGGCAGGAGCGTGAAAGGCGAGGCACGAGAGGGGCAGGGGAGCGACATCGTTTCACGCGTGCCGTTTTGTTGCTTCATGACCACAACATCGTCATATCGCATGTATATATATTAACGTAGGTTTCCTTGTACAGCAACAGTTTCCAATTTACGCAGCCGCTCGTCACTAGGTTCACGAGACGAACACGTGTTTCTGGGATGTGCATGACGTCATGACGTCTTCCGGTCAGTTGCGCCCACCTCGCTTGCGCTCGAAACGATTCTGGTGTTTCTACAAACTTTTGTTCCGGCCTCCGGGATCAGCGGAACATCAAATCAAAGTTACAGCTGTAGAGCCTCCGAGTATTACCTAGTCTGGCCACGGCGGTGTTTCGCGGTCCGACCTTGCTTCGATCTATACTCTCTTCTCTCGTCTCTTTCTCTTGGTCTCTCACTCTCTCTGTCTCTGTCTCCTTCTCTCTTTGTCTTTATCCCTCTCCCTGCCCCCCTCCTCACCATTAAACCCAAAAAGAACCAAAAACACTCCACGGCGTATTGCACATGCATGCAAACACAAAGCCGACCCGACACAGACCTGGTGGGGCAGCACGAAGATGAGGATCGTGGCGTCCTTGACGGCGAGGGCGAGATCGCCCTCCGCGACCAGGTTCTCGGGAAGCTTGACGCCGGGAAGGTACTTGACGTTCTCGTGCTCCCGGTTGATGACCTCGGTTAGGCACGCCTCCACGCCGTTGTGCGAAACCTTCTCGGGGAAGACCCACTGGCGGATCTGGTGCTCGAAACCCTCCTGCCCGCGACCGCCGCCGCCGTTTAGGATACAAGGGAAAAACAGGAGGATGAAGGGAACGTTACGAGGTGGCGGCGGCAGTGGCCCGCAAGAAAAGAGCAAAAAGGGGCAAAGGGAAGAGCAAACACGGAAGATAATTTACAAATTCTTATGCCATGTGCCTGTCCGCCATTGCTCCTGCCCGTGACATCGCTCTAACAGCAGTGGCTTTCCCATTGCTCTGAATCTTGGTACCTCTGTGTTACGTCTTTTGTCTGGCACACGAAGGCAGGCATTTGCGCCAGGCGCGCGTACATTGAAGCGGGTTCGCACGCAAACTCACAATCAAGGCCAAAACAGCGGCCACCAAGAACGCCCCTCATGGAACAGAGTTCCAGATATATATATATATATATATATCAAGCATGCCTCTAAGCACCTCCCAAATACGGGGTTCCGCGCAAAAGAATAACGCCTCCGTCAACGTCACCCACAAAAGCAGAGTGCGGTCCACAACAAACATAAATGCCCGGTTATACATGCTTCGTGATGTGAACCGCACACCTCTTCGTCCTTTAATCTCTACCAGTTTTCAAAACTACCAGTTTTCAAAACACTACCGTTATAGGTTACAACCCTCGGCACCTCACACCAAACGCGCAATCAACCCTGCACTCCGTTACCTGCTCAATCACATTCCGGCCGACGATGCGGGCGATGGCAGATCCCCAGTTGCCGCTGCCCACGATCGCCACGCGCTCGGGCGCCGCGCCCCCCCCCCCCCCCAACACCTGCCGCGGAGCCCCGCCCAGGTCGGCGTCGAGGAGGCTCTCGCAGCTAGTCATGGACCCCATCGACATCTGGATGGTGGCGGTGTCATTGGGTAGGAAGTAGGGAATGAGTGCACCGCAAAACGCTGAGGGCTAGATTCAAAGGGTGCACGGGGTCGCAAGATGAGAGCTCGCCGGGTTTCATATTGCGTGCTACAGATGAAGCCGCGGACATCAACTGAAGTAATTTTTTCGGCTCTCAACCTTTTGCTCTGCAGTTACGCCTGCCTCTGTTTAGCATTGGTTCCTGGGTGACCCGTCGAAAACGGGTGCCAAGAAGCACCAGCGCACTGATCTTCGCCATACACAGCGATCACAACAGCCTCACGAGATACCTAACCCAAACACGACCTATCTACAAGCGCCAGATGAGAGTCTCTCAACGCGTCACTGTTGCGGCAGGTCTCTGTATTTTTTTTGCTGGCTCTCTACGTTTGGCCGGTCCTACGAAACGTACGCATGCGTCACAGGGAGTATTTACCAGCGTACCAGCCCCAACCATGAGAGCTTACCTATGCTCTACTTGGTATTATTCTTTCCCTCTTGAGCCGCAACGAAATCGGGCAGGGTCGTTCCGCAATGAACGCGCACACAAGCCTGAAACGCAAAAGAAGGAGTTGGAAACCTGGACAAAACGAAACTCTAACCGTCGGTCTTTCTTTCTCGACACCTAAAAAGAAAACAAGAGCAGTGCTGCACGTTTGATAAAAAAAAAAGTGTGAGACATAACGCCTCGGGCGGGAAGCCATCCCCTGCTGGAACCCCTCGATTTCTTGCGGCGCAACAACTCAAGACCTCGCCTCCCACGGCCGGCTTCATAGGGCGCAGCAGGGCTGGGAGCGTCGATATTCCGGCTGAGATAGGTGAGGTAGCTATCTGTCAACTGTGCAGCCTTTGTTTTACAGTCGGGGCTAGTCCGTAGGGTAAGATTTCCAGTTTTTTCTCAGGGCGTACCACCGTAGGACAACTCGGAAATCTCCGAGTAAGGGTCGGATGCGCTGCAGTCTCTCCACGAGTCTATCGTGTTGCAACGAACTGTCGCCAACATCATGCACTCAGGTACTGTTGACATCTTTTACAAAAGGTTTGGAGCGATTTGATCCGTCAGAAGATAAGCATGTTGAGATCAAAGTTCAATATTGTTGCGCTATGCTGGAAAGATCCGAAACGCAGGTCTGCATACATGCACCGCAGCACAGCAGATTGGGTTGTCTTAAAGTAAAGACACACTACACATGTCAAACTGCTGTGGAAATATCAGAAAGCACGCGGCGGGATACGCTCACTATCTGTCGGAGCAGGGTCCATGGTTTTTGGTGATCAAGAGAGGGTGGAACAACTTTTCTGATCCCCAGACCACATCTAGAGAAGTTGACGTTCGAAAACGCATCTTTGTGGATGGTCCGCGGTACTTCGATACTGTACACGAACTAGACCCCCCCCCCTGATTTGTATTATTTGGATTACTTTCGATACTCCTGAAACGTTTTGAGCAGTATCCTTCCAGGTATGAATATAGAATTGATTTCATGGTTAAATGTGGAGACACACACACCTGACTATGGGATGGGATGCCATGAATGACTGAGTGTCATGGTATCTATTATCTATACACTACGGATAACGCCGAGTTAACTACTTCCTTTTTGTGCGCGTTACGATTTCAGGGTATCCTTGGCCTAGGACCCTTTCGTAGAGGGAGGATCGAGCCGACGCGCCATGAGACGTAGTAGGAGTTGGAGAAGGTGTGGGAAAAATCATGTCGTTGGACGGCAGGGTGGTCACTCAAAAAGAAGAGGAGGAGCTTGTCAGCGCGCCGACGAAGGCAGTGGAGAAGTTTCAGGAGGTCGTCGCACACTGCGTTTTGAGGGACCCGAAAAAGAAGGGGACGGCCAAGAAGAAGGTTTTCTCGATCCCGCCCAAGAACACAACGAACCAGTCTACGAAGAGCCAAGGGAGGAAGTCGGGTGTGAAGGATAATATAGCCAACGCCTTCGCTGGGGGGCGTGAGTTCAAGGCACTGTTTTTGAACACTATGGATGCTGCCGACGAACACGGGTCGGTCACGCCGGAGCTTTTGGCTGAACTGGTGTCTCAAGTGGGAGCTCCCCGGCCATATAGCATGCTAAATTCCGAAGGAGGTGAGATTCAGAGATCGAGTATGGGTCACCCTGTTTAAGTTGTGTGCGCAATGGCGTACTCGTTAGCCAAAGACGTTTCTTTTCGTCATCAAATGGAAAAGGCTTGAGGACCAGGTGCATCAAATTGTAACATTGGAATACAGTGTATCGGCTAGATCTTAGCGCAATTTGAGCAAAGAATCGATAAAGTGCTCCGGGTCTCTGCTCGCGTCCATAACAGAGGGAAATCCTCACACAGACTACAAGCGTTCGCGGAAAAAAAAAACTAATGATGGATACTGCAGAACAGCCAAGGGATCCAAATAAGATCGGGTCGTCATTCCAAGAATTATTT